ATATTACTGGACAAGATGGATTCTTCGCCAAATGGCGGCAGAGAAATGAAAGCTGTTTAGTCAGATCTCCGTTTATTGACACGGATTTCGTAGGACACTCCTGGAATTTCTTACATGATATTAAGAGTGTACGGTAGCTTCGAATGACCTTAGTCTCATTATCACCTGGCGAGGTTTGGACCTTGTTTTCATGGGATTTCCAACACGATGCGACCTTTCAATGTCATCAGCACTTACATATATCTCGGCTTTATCAATGACGTCAAGGACCAGAGCAGTAGAATTTTCGGATAGGGATTGGGGAATCACAGAATTTCTTACCAGAGGCATTCGGCTATATTGCTCTAAATCATCCAGTTTAAGCCGGAGGTCTTGGTTTTATAGCTTCACGGCGTCTAGCGCAGCCCTTAGAGGTGCTCTTTTGTATCAGACCAGATATTTCACTCACTATCATTTCTTTAACGGCCATAACTATATCTCATATGATTTCAGGAGAGGGTTTTACATAAAAGGCTTGAATATTAGAGGCGTGGCCCAGGGGATACCCAGCAGTTTGAGTATAGTAGTTACCAGGAAGAACGTTTTCATGGGGAGCTGATGGAGTCGACGTACCCATCGGAAGGTATAGGCCGGGTTGACCAGGGTACATAGGGTAATTGGTAGGTGGGCTCTCTTCAGTAAGCGATTTCTGTCTGACCTTTTTACTTTCAGGAAAAATCGGGGACGACGACGATAAAGTATTCAGAAGATGTTTATTGGAAGCGGAAGTAGTATTCATGATGGATAAACAAACGTCAGAATATACAATATTTCAGAAACAGTTTCTGTCGACTGAATATGCGCGCAGGTGAGTAGATGAATGGCGCATGGTTGAGGTCAGCGTGTCTGTACAGGTAAGACAGTTTATCGTGGTCAGCAGGCGTGCCAGACACGAGCGTGTACACAGGTGTATATGTAAAATAGTATGGCGACCTCAGGATACGATGCAGTTTTTCGACAAACAATAGCAGTACTTCATGTTAAATTTGTAGGAGTCCAGCTATACGGATATATTCTATACTTATTGCATTACCATAGTCCAGCTTATTTGACCAACCAGCAGGCTGTAATAATGTAGAATTTCACATTTCTGGCAGAACGATGTTACAGAGTTTCACCATTTCGAAGGCCGGTAACCGCTTCTAAAAGTCGCTGGTTAATCTTCAGCTGTTCACTTGCATCTTTATCTCTAAATCAGTTTAGATTTTAGGCGGCAACTTTGATTTTTTTATTTCAGCAATCTAAAAATATCATAAACACTTTTATAAAGAATATGATTAGAAAATAAATTACTTTTCAGAAGATAAATTAGAAACATTTGTAAAATTTTCTATATTTGACTCCGTGGTTGTCAGTTTTATAAAAAGATAAAATAACTACAAGGTAATTATGATTCTTACTTCAAGAATTAATTTAGAAAAAACTACCGGAATATATTTAGGTAGATGGAAGAATAAAGAACCCGTATACAGCAATATCTCATGGACACAAAAACATGTAAAAACATTAGGTGTACATCACGGTTATAATATAGATAATAATGCGATATGGGAAGAGAAAATAAAGAAAATCAAAGCATGTATACAAGTATGGAAAAGTAGACATTTAACTTTATATGGCAAGAGTCTAATTATAAGATCTCTTATCTTTTCCTTAATTGCCTTTGAGACAGAAGCTCGAGGTATACCTGAAAAGTATATTAAAAGTATTAATTCGTTAATTTGGAATTTTGTTTGGAACGGAAGAAAAGACTTAGTGAATCGTAAAATATTATCAAAGCATTATCATGAAGGAGGTATGAATATTATAGATGTGAAAGATTTTGTTTTTAGTATACAGGTAAAATCTATGTACAAAATATTAAAAAGTGACACTGATACATGGAACGCGATAGGCAAACACTGGCTTAGGTCTTTGGATGACAAATACAGAATCGAGTTTTTTGTTTGTAAACTATCGGACATACGTACGTTGAACCTATCCAACTTTCCATTGTTTTATAAAAAACTGTTAGAATCATGGTCAACTTATCAGAAATTAAATTTAAGACATGTAAACAGAAACGAGATTCTTAAACAACCGCTATTCGGTAACCACTTTATTCAATTTAATGAAAAACCTTTATTTTTTACCTCATTTACGAAAAGTGGCATCTGTACAGTCAACGATATATGGGATGTACAAAACAAGAATTTTAAAAAAGACCGTGATATATACTCTTTGTTAACAGATAAGCGAAATTGTATGTCTGAGTTATCGAGATTAAAAAATGCTTTTCCAATAGTATGGTTAGATGAGTTAAAGGGGAACAACAGAGAGAACAATGATTATTTATACCCTATTATTGATAGTAACCTAAATATTATTGGAAGAGATGGGAAACCGCTCACTATGAGAAAATTAAAACCTAAAATCATCATGAATACACTGAATAAAAATCTGACACCGAATTGCAAATTGAAATGGGAACAAACTTTTCAAAAACAATTTGACTGGGAACTGGTTTGGGATAACATAGAATTAACATTTACGACAACACAGATGAAGGAATTGCAATGGAAATGTATACACAACGTCATTTATACTGAAGTAAAAATAAGTAAATTTAGTAATTCAGACGGAAAATGTCATTTTTGTAAGACAGAATTAGAGGATATTTTACATCTTTTCTTCTCGTGTAACGTTGTAAAATCTGTCCTTATTCAATGCAGAAATAAAATATTTGTGAAGTTCCCAAGTTTTAGGAATGAACTTTTGACTCCAGAAATATTAGCTCTGGGCTATCTGGAAAAAGGTATCTTTTCTATTTTATTTAATAGTGCGCTAATTGCATTCAAATGGACAATGTGGAAATGTAGAAATGATATAAAACATAATAGTATTAAATATAGTATCAATCAAATGCAGAAGAAAGTTCAATCAGTAATAGTTAGCAATCTAATTTTATATGTAAAGTCCAATAAAAAGAAAACATTGCCTATTGAATATGCACAAAATATACTTAATAAGATACTAGATCAATGAAAGAGGCATTCTTTTATTACAAGTTAAATGTCAAGCTATGTTTAAACATATATATTGAATAAACAACTCATTTGTAAAGAACAGGATTACAATTAAAAGTATAAAACGAGCACTGTGATGAAGAGAAAAAAAAAAGAGTTGATGTGACGTGATTTGAGAAGTTCCAAAACATGTAATATAACACTTGTTAATTCTCTTATGCATCTGTTGTGTAGTTAAAAAATTAGACTAATTATCATATATCATATATGTCTATGATTAGGATCTGTTATGTATACCGTTCTTTTGTGTATCTTAATATTTGTGACTTGTAACCGATGATAACGCAATCTGTCTGTCGTCCGCATGTTTATCGTTTCATTTTTCATGGAAGGCCGTATGTGATTTATCTGTGTGTCTGTGAGTATGTCAGTCTATGTGTCTGTCTGTGTATGTTAGGGTGTGTGTGTCAGGATGTCTGTCTGTGTGGCTGTATGTTTATTTGACTGTCATGTGTTTGCTAGTGTGGCTGTCTATGTTTATGATTGTGTGCATGTCTGTCTGTCTGTTTCTCTGATTGTCGATGTGTCAGGGTGTGTCTGTCTGTGTGTCTGACTGCCTACATTTCTGTCTCTCTGTCTCCTTGTGTTGTCTGTGTCTTTGACTTTATGGCTGTCTATCTGTCTCAGTATTTACTTTGTATATTGGTCCTGTTAATGTTTGAGTTAATTAATGCTAATATATTAGAATGAACGTAGACATTTAAAGAACGTCACGCTTATAACATTCTGAATGAACGTAGACATTCGAAGAACGTCACGCTGAACGTCATGCTGATACTATTCTGAGTGCTCAAAAAAAAAAAAAAAAAAAAAATTATGATTCTTACTGTAACAACATAAAGTGCGAAAAAGAAAAAAAACAGAAGAAGAAAAACTCGATAAAGAACAGATTGGCGCCAATATTTCCCTTGGATCTCCTAGTAACAAGGTCTTTTTAAACCGCTAGCAGTCATAAAAACACTGATCATCAAGGAAGGCACACAGGAGCATGTGTATTTTTGATCTACCACAATGCTATTAGCTCTGATGCTTACTATAAAAGTGTTGTGGCCTTGACACCAAGGCAGGATTGACAGAAAGCTGGGGCTTAGTGTGATATACACTGACCATGTGAACAGTGTTTAGATTGGAGTGATCCCTTTAAATGCCATATGGGAGTCCATTTACTGTGAATTGTGGTGGTACAATTCAGCTGTTCCTATAGACTATCGTTTACTACCTTTTCACCAATGCTTTTATCGTCTAAGCCTTAAATTAAAGGTTCGTGCTAATTGTTCATTGTTTTCCTTTTTCATTTATAATACATTAGCATGCCCATCTGAATACCTTGCTTCTGAAGGTTTGAAATCTGAAATAAAAACAGTGGCATGATGACCGACTACCCTCGTGTCTAAAACAGACTCCATTTATACTGATTACCATAGTAACACAGCCTTCATTGTGTTAAAGAAGAAAAACAAGTAGGGACAGTTCCAAAGTTTCGATTGTATGACTGAATACTGAAATAGATTTCAAAAGAACTTTTTATATTCTGCTGTAGTGTTAGTCGACTTACATGATCATGACACAACTACAACACCAGGAACAAAATCCCAAACATTCATTAGATATTGTAACACAAATGTAAATAAATTTTGACTGAATAATTAAACAAATCGATAAATAACGGCCAGATATTTGGACCAACTGTGAAAAAAGAGAGATATAAATGGTTTTGGTCATATTGGGACAAATTGGTTAATTTATACTACAGGGATACTGTATTGCGTTGATATTGGGCCTATTGATTAATATGGCCTGTCTAAGTACTGGACATGGTAATGATTAATGTTTATATATGGGATCTGCGGGTTATCATTTTTGTTGATGGGACTAGAGGCTAGTATTGTCTAAGTATTAGACCTGGAGATACGTATTGTATAGGCATTGGGCTTGTTGTATTGTCTGGATGGCATATGGAGTATAATGTCCGGATATTGGATATTGGACATAGGGATTAGTATTGTCTGGATATTGGACGTAGGGATTAGTATTGTCTGGGTATTGAACGTAGGGATTAGTATTGTCTGGGTATTGAACGTAGGGATTAGTATTGTCTGGGTATTGGACGTAGGGATTAGTATTGTTTGGATATTTGGTGTAGGGATTAGTATTGTTTGGATATTTGGTGTAGGGATTAGTATTGTCTGGGTATTGAACGTAGGGATTAGTATTGTCTGGATATTGGACGTAGGGATTAGTATTGTTTGGATATTTGGTGTAGGGATTAATATTGTCTGGATATTGGACGTAGAAATTAGTATTGTCTGGATATTGAACGTAGGGATTAGTATTGTTTGGATATTTGGTGTAGGGATTAGTATTGTTTGGATATTTGGTGTAGGGATTAGTATTGTTTGGATATTTGGTGTAGGGATTAGTATTGTCTGGGTATTGAACGTAGGGATTAGTATTGTCTGGGTATTGGACGTAGGGATTAGTATTGTTTGGATATTTGGTGTAGGGATTAGTATTGTCTGGATATTGGACGTAGAAATTAGTATTGTCTGGGTATTGGACGTAGGGATTAGTATTGTTTGGATATTTGGTGTAGGGATTAATATTGTCTGGATATTGGACGTAGAAATTAGTATTGTCTGGATATTGGACGTAGGGATTAATATTGTCTGGATATTGGACGTAGAAATTAGTATTGTCTGGGTATTGGACGTAGGGATTAGTATTGTCTGGGTATTGGACGTAGGGATTAGTGTTGTTTGGATATTTGGTGTAGGGATTAATATTGTCTGGATATTGGACGTAGGGATTAGTATTGTCTGGGTATTGGACGTAGGGATTAGTATTGTTTGGATATTGGACGTAGGGATTAGTATTGTCTGGGTATTGGACGTAGGGATTAATATTGTCTGGATATTGGACGTAGGGATTAGTATTGTCCAGATATTGGGCGTAGGGATTGGCATTGTCTGGGTATTGGACGTAGGGATTAGTATTGTTTGGATATTGGACGTAGGGATTAGTATTGTCTGGATATTGGACGTAGGGATTAGTATTGTCCAGATATTGGGCGTAGGGATTGGCATTGTCTGGGTATTGGACGTAGGGATTAGTATTGTCTGGATATTGGACGTAGGGATTAGTATTGTCTGGATATTGGACGTAGGTATTAGTATTGTCCAGATATTGGGCATAGGGATTGGCATTGTCTGGATATTTGGTGAAGGGATTAGTATTGTCTGGATATTGGACGTGGGGATTAGTATTGTCCAGATATTGGACGTAGGGAGTAGTATTGTCTGGATATTTGGCATAGGGATTAGTATTGTCCAGATATTGGACGTAGGGAGTAGTATTGTCTGGATATTTGGTGAAGGGATTAGTATTGTCTGGATATTGGACGTAGGTATTAGTATTGTCTGGATATTTGGCATAGGGATTAGTATTGTCCAGATATTGGACGTAGGGAGTAGTATTGTCTGGATATTTGGCATAGAGATTAGTATTGTCTGAATATTTGGTGTAGGGATTAGTATTGTCTGAATATTTGGTGTAGGGATTAGTATTGTCTGAATATTTGGTGTAGGGATTAGTATTGTCTGGATATTGGACGTAGGTATTAGTATTGTCTGGATATTGGACGTAGGTATTAGTATTGTCTGGATATTGGACGTAGGGATTAGTATTGTCTGGATATTGGACGTAGGGATTAGTATTGTCTGGATATTGGACGTAGGTATTAGTATTGTCCAGATATTTGGCATAGGGATTAGTATTGTCCAGATATTGGACGTAGGGAGTAGTATTGTCTGGATATTTGGCATAGAGATTAGTATTGTCTGAATATTTGGTGTAGGGATTAGTATTGTCTGAATATTTGGTGTAGGGATTAGTATTGTCTGAATATTTGGTGTAGGGATTAGTATTGTCTGGATATTGGACGTAGGGATTAGTATTGTCTGGATATTGGACGTAGAGATTAGTATTGTCTGGTTATTTGATGATGATGATGATGATGATGATGATGATGATGATGATGATGATGATGATAATGATGATGATGATGATGATGATGATGATGATAAGGTATCGGATATGGATATTTACGGATCAGTTGTGGCAAATTATTTTGATAAACTAAAACTTCTGTATGACATTTAGACAATCAAAGCAGATCGATTTCTTCTTGATATTGGGATAATCGGAATACTTTTACCATCTCTTTGGACAAACGATTTGATGATGAATAGAAATGGTTTTGGCAGGTTATTGGAACAAAAAGTTTGATAATCGGTGAATATTAGAACACAACAGTAAATTTTGGCTGGGGTTTGAATCAACAAGAGCAGGAAAGGATGAAAATGAGAACACAAAAACGATGGCATTTATTGCCCTTTTCTTTGATTTATCATCAGGAGATTAAGACAGTTAATCAGATGTATCATTTCTGACCAGAGCTCCCATGAAAGTTATTTATAGAGAGTATAACGGAAACTGCACTTTTGTATATGGCACTGAAGCAGGCTATATGTACTCGGCCACCTTTTGGTCGTGATATTGACATTGAAAAAGGAATTCATCACACTTCAACAGATCTCTCCATATTCTAATCAGCAAATGAATCTGGCATTTTGGAAACATATATATGGCTTCGCATATTGCCAGCCTATCAATTTGTAAGATTACCCAATAATCAGGTGTTGTTCCAAATAACTTTATCAATACGTGCTGTTGGAGACGACAGTCGATGCACTTCCCTTGCTTCATATTGTGTAATTTTTATTACTCAACAGATTACGGAAACCAAACGAACGCGGTGTACGTAATCCAGTTATAATCTGATCTAAGACTGACATGATTATTTATTAATATTTCGACAAATTCATTAAAGAATCCTTTCTGGTAGATTACATTCAAGGGCGCCAGCCTCGACCTGAATCACGAAGGCTGACTGTATGCACACAGTGATTGATGTTTAAGTATTGGTCCACTGACCTATGGATACAGCTATCAGCCTCGGCGATGTGGTTCCTCGTTCTCGTGCATGTAGTTCATCTAATTCGAAAACTTGACTGAGAGAAGGTTTATGTTCCGAATTGGAAAGTAATGAAATTCAGTATGGCAAACAGATGAGTATTTCGCTCATTTGTTTTGAAAAAAAACGAGGAAATGAAAAAAAAACATTAAAGGAAACAGGATATAAAAAATGAAAAATAAAAATGACCTGATGATTTTATTATTACACATACAACTTCAAATGATTAAAGGAAAAAACAACAAATATATATATCGAAACCAGGAAACAAGATGTCAATGACGTCTTCCCCTAATGACCTCATGTAAGGTGACTTTCTTCACGTTCATATCAATCGGGAATCTATTTAAGCTTCTATTGTGTTTTTTATACCAGATTTTATGTATGCATTCATGAGTGATATTGTCGAATTGGTGAACGAAATATTGAACTGATATTGAATAGTATGGTACATTAACACTGGTTATCAATGGATTGGTATTGATTGCAGAAGGATTCTTGGTATAAACCATTGCTTCCGATAGGTTTGTGTTTCAACGGAAGCTGAAAACTTGTATAGGCCAGTGCTGTTGTAGATACGTCCTTGGACAGGACATTCAACCCCTCTTGCATAAGATTACATGGGATGGGCGTTCAGCATGTTTTTCAGTGAAATAGTTACCGTCGACTGCAAGGAGATCCCCTTCGTCTGACCCAGGGTATTTAGCGGCGATGAACCCAGCAAGTAATTAATTGTCAGAACCCAGTAACAAATACATAGAATACATAGAAATTTATAGCAAACATTAAACAATTTCCCGCCAATTCTTGTTTATTTTTTCACTTTGACGTCTATGATCATCTGCTCTTGTCGGAAACCCTAATCAGGAAAATTGATAAAAGACACGCAAGTAAAAAGCATCTGTTAATACAAATTTAGAATTAGATACAATAAAGCCTAACGATGAATTTTACTGCATCATACAGCTGTTACGTCCTTGTAGGACTCGTCAGTGATGCTATGGGCCTAAATCAAATTTTTGAAGGTTTGTGTTTTTCTAGAAGATGAGAGATGTTTATGCTTGTTTCCATTATTTTTAAGTGACAATATAAGACAATAATCGACCATTTTATTGACTCTGTTTATGTACATATATCACAATTTATTCCATTAGAGTCCAGCGACAGAGGCTTAGATCTATTGTGGACAACAAACATTGCCCGAGGCTGAACGCTTGAGAGTCCAAGCCGAATATATTGCTTCAATTACTGACATTTTAAAGAAGTGCGTGTCGCAGACAGCGGACATGACATTAACAACATATCGCCATTAAGTAGTTCCCACACCTTCAAATGTTTTTCATATGCGACTTTGCTGAAAAGATATTGGTTTTCATTTCATTTGCCATGTCAATCGGCGTTTTCTGCCAGTTCTCCCTGTCTGCTATCGCAATACGGCAGAGAGTATTCATGAATTGTCACGTTAATACGAGTAAACTCAAAGTAAAAGAGGGCAGACTGTGGAAATGTATTTCAAATATTATGCCCATGCTAGGTCGATGTATCAGTAGAAATAGCTCGACACGAACAGTAAAGACACATTTACATCGTTATTTGTTTGGTTACGTTCTCGCAACAGTCATGGTCATATTTACAAGACACAGCTGTCTCTGCAGGCATCAATCGTCCGCGTCATACGGTGACATGTCCCGGAAGACGTCAACGGTCAGTATTATACGGGAACAATCTCTCGGGAGACATTAGTAGCAGGGTCAACCGTCAGAATCAAACGAGGGCAGGTGTCTCTGGGGACGTCAACTGCCAGGGTTATACGTGTCTCGGGAGACGGCATCGGGCAGGGTCATGCTGGTCTCGGTGTCCCTGGAGACATCAACCGTCAGGGTCATGGAGGAGCAGGTGTCTCGGGAGACATCAACTGCCGGAACTGTACGTGGACAGATGTCTTGGGAGACATACATCAACGGCAGAATACTACAGAAACAGGTGTCTAGTAGAGGCAGAATAACACAGAAACAGGTGTCTAGTAGAGGCAGAATACCACAGAAACAGTTGTCTAGTAGAGGCAGAATACCACAGAAACAGGTGTCTAGTAGAGGCAGAATATCACAGAAACATGTGTCTAGTAGAGGCAGAATACCACAGAAACAGGTGTCTAGTAGAGGCAGAATACCACAGAAACAGGTGTCTAGTAGAGGCAGAATACCACAGAAACAGGTGTCTAGTAGAGGCAGAATACCACAGAAACAGGTGTCTAGTAGAGGCAGAATACCACAGAAACAGGTGTCTAGAAGAGGCAGAATACCACAGAAACAGGTGTCTAGTAGAGGCAGAATACCACAGAAACAGGTGTCTAGTAGTGGCAGAATACCACAGAAACAGGTGTCTAGTAGAGGCAGAATACCACAGAAACAGGTGTCTAGTAGTGGCAGAATACCACAGAAACAGGTGTCTAGTAGTGGCAGAATGCACAAGGGAAAAAGGTTGATATTATATACACAGCGTTACGTTAGGGGCAGTATTGTAATTCTGATCTCCTTAAAAGTAGGCATTGAAGAAAACACCTTTCTGATGGGAAACTAACAATTAGTCGCCTCTTACTACACAGGAAATACCCCGACTCTGCATAAGTGACATCGCAATACACGGAAGGTGGATATTCATCGCATCCTCCATCAAGTTTGGTGATAGTGTGATATAATTATTCCAATAAATCTAATTACGTTCAGTTGTCTGATGTTCTGATGTAAACATTATATATGAACAATACGGTATTATTTAGCAGTGTATTCCCGATTTATGGTGGAAAGGACCTCTTGTGTTGTATTGCTGTAATAGGCGCTTTGTAGAACCACAGTCGTTCATTGTATCGACCGCTTTATGGTATTGGGAGTGATTAAAATGGTAACAAAACCAATACACTGCATAATGTTGAGCCTTGAACATCCCAGCACTGGAAATTTAATTACAGAAAAGATTGATCTTTGATCTATTGACTGCCTTAAATATCTTTAACTATAAAATAATCTTTCAAGTTTTCGCACAGCAATAAAAATAAACTAAGAGTCTTAAATTATCCATATACAATAAATATTTGAAGCGCGTGTTGCTTAAAAATAAGCGGAGTTTTTTTTAACCAATTTAGATAAGAGCACACGGGAGATGCAAATTGCAAATAAATGGCAGAATATAAAGTAAATAATTTATTCTACAGAATAAACCATAAAACTATAACAAAAAAATATGTATTTCTATATTAACCTTAAATAGATTAAAATGTATTAACCTTTTGGTTTTGTCGAGGAGATAGTGGGTTGGATTAGGGGTTTGTCAATGGCTTAAATGGGTTCATGATAATGACGTCAAAATAATTTTGAATGTAGATTACGCAGGTTTAATGTATCCGACTTTTAAAGCTGTCATTGTTGAAAGGTAATATAATTGAAATATTTTCCTTGTAAAATCTTATTTTGAAGAATTCCTCTTTAGCTTGAGACCTCTTTTCTCAAATGGCAAGTGTAGAATAGAATAAGATTGTCTACTTACGCATGCCATGTTCACTTTTATGAAACCTCTACAGCGTTTTTAATTAGTTACAGAACCACTGTCATACCTTAAATACAATGGATGTGTCCCATTCTCCTTGATCTTTTAGCGGTGGCAATCAAAACACAGGACACTTAAAATAACAAACAAATCCTTTATTTACAAGCGCCTTAAAACCATAAAATAAGTGTGAGTATGTTTATTTTTATAGTAATATAAGTAAACCGCAACCACTTCTCAAGAATTACAACCAAATGACAGCTTGTAGACTGAATAAACTATTTCAATGAAAACATCTCATCAACCGCCAGAATGTTGTTTATGTAAATGAAATTATATGAATTGAAAAAAAAAATTCTTGTAGAGAGAAAGTTGATTGGATTTTGTTGTATGTCAACATGCACATGTTGATGATGATGATGATGATGATGATGATGATGAACGTAGATTACATTAGGTAAATATTTGTATATGACTAATATAAGTACAGATAAATGTTTCGTTCGAATCATGAGGTGTCAATGACAGTGTTGTCATACTTACGGTCCATGAAAAAACTTCGATACATCGAAAAGTTCGATTTATAAAACTTCGATTAATAAAGGGGTAGTATATATATAGGAATACAGTTCAGGACCGGACAGAAACTTCGATACATCGAGAAATTCGAATCATCGAAGTTCGATCTATAGAAGTTTGACAGTATATATAGTTTATTCTGTTTGGCTTATGAGATTAAAAGGCCAAGGAAACACCAAATAAATTGTTCGTTTCAAGCTTACGGCGCTCACCGCTAACTCCATTGGATTTAATGTCTCAAGAAAGGGACTTGGTGCTCTTGGTGAATGCTGTAAAAACTATCGAAACTTTGTGTTCTGAATCATAGCAATCAATATATATCCTCTTTCCCCATGTGTCAAGAATAGAATGGTTGCCACCGATACTTCAACTTTGCGTGACGTCATCCTTCCGGAGGAGCGAAATTGTTTTAACATGACAGTCTCTCAGGGACAAACTGTCCCTTCCTTGGTCGACTTTTTCCGTTTACGTCCGAACTCAATACCTTAGAGACGACGATCAAAGGAGATGTATAAGGACATTTGAAACTCTTCCGAAAAAAAAGTCAAGGCCATATCGATGACGACATTTGTGTTTTTAATTCAAAACCATGACAAATAGGTTTTTTTCGATTGTTTTTTTTTATTTCAATCAATAGTTTTGTATCTGCAAGATAACTGTTTCCATAGAGACATTGCTTCCTAAGCCGGCAGCTTAACATGGCAACATCACACGATATAGAGTGTGGTCGCTCGAACTAAACAAAGAGTTTACATGAGATGATGGTTGTTCATTATGTGCGGTCTATGTGGTAACCACCATGATATCTCGGAACAACGTATAATCATATTTTCGTGTGCGATATGAAAGGTAATGGACTTTACTTCTGGTCATTATTGTGCTTTATAGCTCATGTTGTCACTACGATTTCATTAAACAACGGCACGTTAATAAGATTTGGCCTAAATGTCTTGTGCCGCCATTGACACAGAAAATCATAGCCATACTGGACCTACTGGTGTGATTCTTCAAAGACCTTTAATAGGTTCATGGTTCACATTCGTTTTATTGATCATGGGCGTATGCTTCATACACTTGTCACACACTAGAAAATATGTGATGGCCGTAAAGTAGGTATACGTGTGACGTACAGCCTTAAATACACGCGAATGCATGTGATGGCCGTAAAGTAGGTATACGTGTGACGTACATCCTTAAACACAAGTGAATACATGTGCTGGCCGTAAAGTAGGTATACGTGTGATGTACAGCCTTAAATACACGTGGATACATGTGATAGCCATATAGATGGTACGTGTGACGTACAGCCTTAAATACACGTGGATACATGTGATAGCCATATAGAAGGTACGTGTGACGTACAGCCTTAAACGCACGTGGATACATGTGCTGGCCGTAAAGTAGGTATACGTGTGACGTACAGCCTTAAACACACGTGGATACATGTGCTGGCCGTAAAGTAGATATACGTGTGACGTACAGCCTTAAATACACGTGGATACATGTGATAGCCATATAGAAGGTACGTGTGACGTACAGCCTTAAACACACGTGTATACATGTGCTGGCCGTAAAGTAGGTATACGTGTGACGTACAGCCTTAAACACACGTGGATACATGTGCTGGCCGTAAAGTAGATATACGTGTGACGTACAGCCTTAAACACACGTGGATACATGTGCTGGCCGTAAAGTAGGTAACAGCCTTAAACACACGTGGATACATGTGCTGGCCGTAAAGTAGGTATACGTGTGACGTACAGCCTTAAACACACGTGGATACATGTGCTGGCCGTAAAGTAGGTATACGTGTGACGTACAGCCTTAGGTATACGTGTGTTTGCTTGTGATATTCTGGTCACATGTGTGTTTACTGCAGTAACTTACAAAATCTGCATCAATTGGAGTAAAGGAAGTTTCCACGGACCGGTGCAAAAATCTTCCATGAAAAAAAAACGGAACGCGCAACGGAACTCACTAGTATTTATATCAGTGTCATTTTGATCTGGACATTTTCTGTTTTTAAAATTTCATATACAGTGAAACTTCACCTAACGACCACCTCAAAATTACGACCATCCCGCTATTACGGGCACTTTTTTCAGTCCCGTTTTTTTCCACTTAATATCTTTGTATTGGTCGCTTCAGTATTACGACCACCCCGCTATTCTGTATAACGACCACTTCTTACAGTCCCAACGACCACTAATTAACGATAATTGACCTCATAATTACGACCAATTTCTGACCAGTGAAATTTAAAAAGGACTGTAAATGCGTCAGGGAGGTAAATGTGATCGACGAACATACGGAATGTTTCCAACATTCGTAATGCTTAGTATCTTTCTTCCACGCGGGAGAATACTAAATGGGGAAAAATGATTGTAAAGGCGGAAAGTGTACTTCTGCCACTCGGATACCTGCAGTATCTGCAGCAAGTTCGAGGCAATCATTGAACGCAAGGGACAAATTCTCGTGATAGTGCTAAAATCCCGACTGTGACTGCGGAGGTAGGTTGACGATTCAAGGGGAAAACGGGGACCAGGTCGTTACGTGTTTTGAACAGTTGATTGACAGTTTTTGGCAGGTTATTGATTGTGGAGCAAAGTAAAAATGCATTACAGGTTTGGAACCGTACTAGATATGACTAATTTGATTGGCAATGCCATCAGACGATTTCCTCTGCGGAATCAGAAGGGAGAAGTGGGA